GAAAGGGGCGTTTAATTCCCGCCCACATGTAGAAATCGAATATTCAAGCTGTTTATTAATTTTTCCACCCATGAATGAAAAACGTAAATTTAAGATGAATTCTCGTTTTTAGTGTTTTGGGAAAAAAAAAAAAAAACGAAAAAGGAGCCGTTTTCTAATTTTTCTATTTTCAATATGAAATCAAAAAACGAATGATCGAATGATACACGGATTGACACCGATTTGCTATTTTATTTTTCTATTCATGTCTGCAGAGTGTATGTCAATATATGTAGTATGGATCTTTTCTGCCCTCTTGTGGCATACAAGGAAACATACGAAACATTATTTGCAGTTAGGATTATTTGGTTTTGCTGATGGGGTGGTTTGCTATTTGTATTTTTAGCAGTGCAAACAAGGTGGCAACTGTCTGAAAATTAGCAACTTTGGCAAAGCCCTGTGTAAGTAAGCAAGACTGTGATGACTTGGCAATGTGCTGTGGTCAAAATATCTGATCATGCATCTTCTTGTGGCAGTGGAGGCTTAATTTTTGTTTCTTTTTATGTATCTTTATTATTATTATAGTAGTAGCACTAGTAGTAATAGTACATATTGTGTAATATTATATATTATGGATACTAAATGCTAAACTGAATTGTAATACAGAAAATTACATGACCACAAGAAAGCCACAAAATTACAGGTTTCTTTAAACATAAGCAAGAAATAGTTTCTGGAGCTTTACCTGCTGTGACTAATGACAACATGTACTGTAACTAAAGAAATGTGAACATTTTTATTCATCTTATATAAAATTATGACTCCAAAAATGTCTGTACTTTGCAGAAAAAATGAACTGGACATAATGTAAAATGTATGCATGCATCACTTTCATTGTGTTCATTTTGTGTAATTGTACAATTTTCACAACTCACAACTTTCAAAACTCTTTTATGGAGTTTTTGTTTACAAAAAGCAAACATTTCATTATCTAAACATTTGGTGTGTGTTTAAACAACAGTACAATCCATTAAATTCACTGTACTTCTGTTCCTTACAACCTCGTTTTCATTTTTGTCAAAAAATTAAATATGGTGCTACCCTGTCCCTGACTAAGGCTTATTGAGTTCTAGTTTCCATAACTCTCTTTCAAGCCAAGCAGCCTTGGGTTTACATTGTAACCATTAACAACTTGGATCACACCCTAGTAAAAGTATTATGACAACGAGGTAAAGAGAGAGAGTACAAAAAACTGCAGGATATGAATCATACTTGGCATAACTGAATAGTCATTTTAAATATAAAGTTTTGCACATGAAGACGTTTGAATATTTGAAAGCTTTATGTTAAATAAAAACATATTTGCTTTCAGTACAGACAGTTTAAAGCTCAAAGAATACTGCCAAAGAGCGTTAAGACCTGTCATACACACCCACTGTACTTTAACCTGCCAGCGAAAATAGTTTTTATGGTTTTCATCCGATACTGATGAAACACAAACTCAAAAGAAAAGTAAAAAACAATCAGATATTTTAATAGACAACGGGATCAACTTTACAGTTTGTCTGCATGGATCATTTTCCTCTTCATTTCCAGCTCTGTGTCTTCTTTAACTGCATTCTATAGCACGCCTCACAAGCGATGGACAAACCCACAACCAAAGACACAAACTCCTCAAAGTTCACCTCCCCGTCTCCATTAGCATCCAAGTCCTTCATAATTCTGTCTATGGTGGTCGGATCCTTCTGAGACTGTGGGAAAAGAGAGTAAAATAAGTTTGATAAACAAGAGATTTGGTCTGGATTTAATTTTCTTGGAAAATGAAAGAGAGGAGACCAGAATTATAGTATTTGTGAGAGAATGACATAAGTTCCTCACCTTGAGAAACCCAGAGAGCTCGTTCTCCATCAGGGTTCGGAGTTCACGGCGGGTCAGGGTGCCGTTCTTGCCCTCTTTTCCAGCGTAGCGGTGGAATACCATGATGAGGGACTCCATGGCAGTCTCTAGCTCGGATGGCATGGCTGCTCACTGTAGAAAGCTAGTATGAATCTAATATTAACACAACTGATCTCTTGACAGTGCATTCAAAAGGCTAAACATCAGAATGAAGAGCTTACCGTTTGGGTGTCTGAGTGAAGAATTTGAGAAATGCTGGTTATCTCTCTCAAGAATTTATATGGCCGAGCCCGTGGGCAGGAGAAGGTCTTATCAGGGGAAGTTGAGCAATATATTGATTACAGCACAGCATACCTAAGTGTATGAGTTAAGCGGACTTTGTGTTTTCTATATAGATTGCATGACTCAGCGGAGCACAGTAATGTTAGTACTTAATAGATGAAACACCAGAAATTGTACAATATACATACTTTACTAGCAGTCAAAAGTTAGATTTTTTAATGTTCTTGAAAGAAGTCTCTTATATTCAGTAAGGCTGCATTTATTTGATCAAAAATACAGTAAAAACAGTAATAAAATACTATTACAATTTAAAATAATTGTTTTATTTTTAAATAGGCTATATTTTAAATATAATTTATTCCTGTGGTGGCAAAGTTGAATTTTCAGCATCATTACTCCAGTCTTCAGTGTCACATGATTCTTAAGAAATCATTCTAATATGCTGATTTGCTGCTCACGAAACAGTTCTTATTATTATGTTTAAAACAGTTATTGCTTTATTATTATTATTATTATTATTTTATTATCGTTATCATTATTATACATTTTTTTTGTGTGGAATCTGTGATATACTACTATCCCAAAACTTTGGGATAATTAAAACAAATAGTCTAAAAAACAACAAAAAAACTTTTATTTAGCAAGGACGCATTAAAGTAACAGCAAAAACAAAGACAAAAGATTTCTATTTCAAATAAATGCTGTTCTGTATCACAGTTTCATACAGAATACTGATGAATCATTTAAAATATTATACAGTTAAGAGAAACTAAATGTTTTTATTTGATTTGATTTGATTTATTGTTGTGTGTGTGTGTGTGTGTGTGTGTGTGTTTCTTAATCTCTGGTCACCTTCCGACAGAGATAAGAGAAACGAAGCTTTTCGAAACTCTGAATCAATTGAACCGACTGCTTCGCAAAATGATTCACTATTTGGAAGCGCTCGAGAAACACCAATGCTGGGATGAAGTGCAGTCCCATATTGACTGCATCATCCACGGACCTGTTTGCTCAGTAAGCAAACTGCAGGAGGTCTAGTAAGGGTCCAGTAATGTCCTCCACCAGAGATGGTCCTCATTGCAGAACACAAGATCCAGGGGGCGTGGT